ATAAGCAGGCCTCCCTGCCGTACGTCGTGGTTGGGGCTGATGTGACAGTTCATTTAGGCGATTCCTGAAGCTCGAGGTGGCAGTTACGGTGCCACATCAACTCCCAAGGTAAAGGTCATCATTACGCGCCTGTTGAGCTCCACGTGACATGTGTCCTGGGATACGCTCCTCGCCACGTGTCGCATCATGAATGGTCCACTGTGCGGTGAAAACCCCTATAAATACCAGATCCCTTGAATAGTTTAGGGTTTCCAAACTTCCGCTTTCTTGCTCCCCATATGTTGCAGTTTTTCTGTTCAACGCTCTCCGGCTTCCAGTTCTCCTCAAGTTTTTTCTTTAAGGTAACTTTATCTTTCATCTTCTATTTTCTTCGAAAATATCAATGGCGGATCTTGTAGCAGTCACGGGTTCCAGTTCCTCCTCTGGTTCTGGATCTTCCTCCTCTGGTTCTGGATCCGAATCCCGCTCGTCTGGTGGGACAAGCCCCTCCGATAGGTCTGGGCACTTAGTTGCATCTGGAATGCTCATCGTCGATGCCGCGAACGTCGCCGAGGTAGAAAACGTTCAGGGGGATGCCGCTGAGCTCCAAGGCGAGGGTGCTGATTCGAGCAATGCTGATTCGGGCGACGAGGCGTATGATGGAGACGACTTGAGTATTTGTCGATCTTTGAGCTAGGCTTGGCTTATGACGTTCCGCGCCACATGGTGCCCTTGCAGAATGCCCATGGGATTGACCAATCCTTCTTTGGACGAGGGCCCTAGAACGTTGTCTAGTGCTATTTGGGCAAAGGCCTCTGAGGCCGAGCGTCTGCTAATATGGCCTCAGATGGCCCCAATGCTTAGTGGGTAATGGGTCGTCCTGCTATCGGGCCTATTAACCCAACATCCACCATTCAAAGTACTTCGTATATAACTTTATATCCTTATCTACCATATATAGGAGAAATCCATCCATGAAATCATTATGGGATTAGAATGTTACTAAAAATTAACTAAAGGACAAAAATATGTCATTTTTTTAAATTTCCAAAACTAAGACTAAAAAAACAAAGAGGATCATTATACCCTTACTAAACCCAACTGACCCGTTATAGTGATCAATGTCACAGTAACTCTGTCCCGCATTGATCTATGCCACCGGGACCATCACCAGCTACAGTGACCTTCACTAATCATCATATGATGCCACCGCTCACGGTTACCACCTTTGTTGGCTGACGGGTCACAGTAACCATGGCCTCGCCCCCGTCTAGTTATCACCGTCCAATGAAAGTTACACATTTGCCCGGTGACGCTGCAGCCCTGATATGACCGCCACTGTGACCCAATCATGACCGCGACTGCATATAGTGTACCGCTGCCCCCGCCCTCGGTTAGTCGGTATCGCCACCATCTACCCCGCACACAACCCTAGTCACTGACCCACGCCCATCCCAACCCTCCCCACGCGCAACCCTAGTCACTGCCTCCCCCAGCCCAAACCCTAGTCATCCCCAGCAGGCCTGTCACCGCCTTTGCCAGCCCCCAACAAATCTGCCTCGGTGCCCCACCACCCCACCCCAATTTTCACAACCATTGTTGCACCGCCCCGGCCCCCGAACCAAACCCTAGATGTCGGCGCAAAGAAGAAGACCAAGAGATTCATTTCTAAATCTTCTTCTCCAATTGGGCTTTAGCGTTGGGAGTGTAGCGGTTGCTAGCAAACAGGAGAAAAGAGGAGGAGGAGGAGGAGGAGGAGGAGGAGGAGGAGGAGGAGGAGATCAAAGAAGTTGTTATCAATGATGAGGGTGGGACCGAATGAGGCGGCAGAGGAGGGTAGCGACAAAGGTGACAAGGGATAGTTGAGGTGTCGTCATCCTCACAAACTTAACCCTAAGTAGCCTCCTCGCCAAGCTGGAGCCACTGTTGTTGAACTTCCTATCGTCATCGTCGCGGGAACTGAAGGCCTTGGTCTTGGGGTATGGCAATGCCCATTGTCAAACAGAGGTTCATACGGGAAGGGCGGACGACGCAAGCGGCCTGGAGTTGCTGTTAGTTGAGAGGCATAGGTGTGTCGGCGATGCTGGCGACTGGGAAGCATAATGAACGGAGGGATGGAAAAGACAAGTGTGAAATGGGGGAGAGAAGTTAGGGAATTAAGGTTTCGAACTTGGTGGATTCTATGGTACCCCATTTTTTAAATGGGGACCGGAGTTGTCACCTTTGAACCTTATATATGTGAGGAACATTTTTATTTGTTCAATTTTAATTAGTCTTTTTTTGTCCAAATAAAAGAGGTCTTACTTATGTTTGATGGAGAGCTTGTAGTATTATTTTTTTCATTCTTTCAATTACTATTCTTAGGGTTATGATTTTAGTATTTTTATCTTTTATCACAAAATAATCAAACTTCCTTTATTCTAACATTAATACTATTCCATTCAGAATTTTCAAAATTACAAATTTAAATCAAAATACTTTTTATATACTTCTATTTTCTTCATTAATTAGCCAGAAATTAAATCAAATCATAAAATTTTAACCTTATTTCTTCCATCCTCCATCACTTCATTTAATCCATGCATTCGGTTTGAATATTACACAAATGTTTCCAAATGGTACCTAGTATGCATACATCTAGAATTTTTTCCATTTTTCAGTCCCTCGACTGTTGAGTGAAGACACTTTTGATACTCGACTTTCAATTTTTTGACTTTTAGTCATCGACTATTGTGAGAGAGATGTTTAATCCTCGACTTCAATGTTTTCCACATAATAGTCAGAGCACTAAAAGTGGCAAAAACTCCATACATCTAGCTCAAAGTGAGTTTTTTTGGTGATATGTCGACTACATTTTTGACGCACATGCAACCACCATATCTCTTAGGGTCGTTTGGTTCAGGTAATGTCAGATTACCACGGGAATGTCAGATTGTTGTATATGTTAGATTGATGGGAAAATATCCAATTTATTCACATTTGTGTTTGGTTAAGATTAAGGGAATGTAATATTAATTTACTTGATTGAAAGATATCTTATATTGCAGATATGGTGAATTACTTCAATGTCCTTTGAATATTTTATCTTAACACAATAAGTCTATTACAACCTACACCTAAAGTAATTAAAATTAAAGAAAAATGAAATATCTTAATAATAACTAAAATCAAACCTAATTGAATTATTTTTAAGTAAACTACGTTTAATTGTAAAAAGTTGTAGATCCAATTCAAAATGAAAAAAACTTTGCTCAAATAATAATCTAAATATATTTATTATTATTTCAAAAAAAAAATTAAAAATGTTCAAGTTATTCATAAAACTTCTTTTCAAATTAAAGAAAAAATGATCGATTTTGCCATTAAAGTTTGAAATCCACTCATCAAAAACTAAATAATCTATAAGTCTTATAAAATAAATACCTTAAAAAATTTAAATGTTAAGGAAAAAAGAATTATGAAAATAACAAGAATAAACTTTCGAATGTAATTAAATAAACACTTCATCTGGCCTACTTAAAAGGTTATCACACAATCTACGATCGACTGACCATAAAATTACATGATCTCTTTCAATAATAACATTATTTTTTAGTAAATAAAATTTACATATTTAGAAACTACACTAAAAGTTTTATAAAGTCGCACTATAAAAAGAAATTAAATGAAAAGAGATAATTAATTGAGGGTATTTTCAGAAGAAAATTAGACCATGCCCGGGAATGTAAGATAACCTAAGGCACGAATGGTTATAAAATTCCGCTCCATATTACATTCCCGGGAATGTAACTTTTCCGGTTTTTTCTCAAACTCGTGAACCAAACATGGGTATCTGACATTCCGTGCATCACATTCCAGCATTTATGTGAGAGTACCCCAAACCAAACAAGCCCTTAAGATGTAATGACCAAGCTCTTATAGATGTAGGAGTGGACTCAGGCCGGGCCAACCGGTCCGGAACCGGACCGGCCCGCTACTGTGCGGGCCCGGTGAACCGGTTGGTGCCCGGTTCGGGCCACCCGGCCCGGTGAGGTAGGCGGGCTGGGCCCGGGCCTCCTAAATCGTGAACCAGCCCGGCCGGTTCGGGCCCGGTCCGGGCCAAATTATTTTATTTTCTTTTTTTTTTTTGATTTTTTTTTAAGTTTTTGGGTTGGGTTGGGCTGGGTATGATGGGCCATTTGAGGTGGTTTGGGGTGGTTTGGGGGTGAGGGGGAGGGTTGGGGGTCAATTAGGAAAAGCCAAAAAAAAATACACGAAGCGAGGCCCGGCCCGGACCGGACCCGGGGTTACCCGGGCCGATTCCGGGCCTCCCCTTTCATGAACCGAGGCCCAATCGGGCCCGAACCGGAACCGATCCACCCCTAGATGTCAGGTTGTTACATGAGATAAAACTATTTTTATCTATGCTGCCAAGTTTGCTAGATGCTATTTTATAGGTGTCAAGGAAAGTTTTGAAAGCCACAAGTGATTTGTAATGGAACCGATAATGAAAATCAGCAAATCATCATCATAAGCTAAGAATATTTTTATTTCAATCCCAGACCAGATCAAACCAGTTCGTATTAAACCAGACCAGCATTTGACAGTTCTAAAATACACAGAGACTAACCATTTACCCGACCAAGCCAATTCAAACTAGACCAAACCAAAAAGTTTCAATCCAACTAAAAACATCCTAAATGTGTAGAGGATAAGTTGTGTTGCAGTGCTTCAAAATACACTTCAAGTGCATCACTCGATCCTTATATTCACACGTTATTAGGTTTTACTTGATTCAAAATATTTCACTATACCTTACGAGTACAAGTACAACTCTTACTTCGGAAGATGACATCATAAAATGTTGCTTCATATAAACCCATAAAGCAAAGCACTAATAAATAGACTTGTCTTTCTCCACAATTCAATATTCTTGAAATTTAGTCACAAGAGTGAAATATAGAAGATGCAAGTATGCAACTTGTTAGCTACCATGTCCAAGTTCAGTTCTCGGTTGGGTCAAATTTCGAACCATGTTCGCCTTTAATGATGAATTGATGATCAATAATAATATGGGGTAAAAATTGATACTTCAATGGAATTATTGACCGAGAAGTAATTCAATGCCAATGAAGAGCATAATGTGTACTGTGTAGAATAATATCAGGAAATAAAGCCAAACACATACTTTAGAATCTCGATCGATTGTTTAATATGTATGTACTATATACATTGTCAAGCATAATCAATTTGTACGGTTAAATCTTGGACCCCAAGATCATGGTATAAGTAGCGAACATATTGGAGCACTGCCCGATCATCCATCCCCTTCTTCATCTGCACACACAACAAAATGCAATTCATTTCAAGTTCGTATATAAAAGAGTTAAAATAAAAACATGAAATTGGAGAGCCTCTTTTATTGCTTAACGTATCAAACTTTAACATCTTAGAGGAACTATACACTTGCAGCCTAAAACAATTCCCCAACGAATTGAGCTCCAAGTTTGTTGTAAAAGTTCGAGTCAACTCAAAGACGCCTTAAAATTTGATGAGCCAAACCTGAACTTATAGGTAATTGGTTTGACTTAGTTCATTTACCACCCTACCTTTACCCATGAGAAACTCAGTGCTCTGATTGGTCAGTATGTGCAGCACACTGGCAAAACTGAAATCAGACAAAAGTACCTGCAGTGAAATTGATCCAATGGCATGGCCAGGCACCATTTCCCATACACGGGCTTGAAAGATTTCTGAAACATCTTGACGAGAGGTAACCTAACCACATAGAGAACTTTTCATTCAAGAGAAAATACAAAACTGGGAAGAACAAACCAAGTTGAAGAAAAAGACGAGTCAATTTTTATTTGAGCATTAAAAGGCAGATTGACCTGTCTCCGGCACTTGTTCAACGCAGAAGAAGTGATGTACGAAGGTGCCATTTGGAGAAGAACTCCTCCTGTAGCATGACAACCATAAAAATCGCAGCTGAAACTATTCCCAGACAAAGAACTTCAGCGTTTTTCACCCTAGCACACATCAAGACCATATACAATTAAATTTGGGGGCCATTTGGTCAGGCATATTTGGTTGAATCACCCGTTTGTGCCAAACAAAAGCAGTCAAAAGCTACTTATTCTGCTCTGAAGCAGAATAAGCCAACTATCCTAATAGATAATCAACAGGATAAGAAACCATTTACCCTAATGTCAACAACCAAGAGGCTAGGATCAAACCTGCACTGCAAAAGAATGAACCTAAGAGATTTAGCTCTTATAATTCGTCACAAGAGAACTAAACTCTAAAGAGCTGGTCAGCACAATCATGTAGCTCCGGATGGAATCAGCTATCACATGCAAACAAACTGAATGGTTATTCATATCTTCCGCCTTCCTGTAAACTACAAGCAGCATAATTAGAGTAAGAATCTCCGAGAGCAGACAGATAAGTAAAGGAAAACACTGATGATAATTTGGCTCAGTTTCGTAACCAATTCAGGCTTATTTATTTCTTATTTGGCTAAAACGGATTTTACCGAACACTTTTCAGCTAAAAAATGCATATTCAGCCATTTCATCCACATAACCCTTACAAAATGGGCCCTCGGTTTCTACAAGTGAACAATAAGATTTTTAATCGGGTGAAGAAACTAACAGTTACAAGTGAAGTCCAAACACAGGTCACAGATGACAGAATACAGTAGGCTATAATTTCATCTTCTCATGTCAAACTATCCTTACATGCCTCTTAGTTCACATAACGACCGACATGTTGTATTATATTTTGTTTCAAGTTGGCAAAACTATCCCATCAGAACACTTACAGAAAGAAAAGATGTTATCCAGCTTAAACCAAACACAGCTGCAACTTCTATTCAGTGTTTATACATATGGCGAAAAGATAGCTCAATAAAATTATGATGATGCATGTATAATCATACAAAGAAATGTAGATTAACATCTAGTTTTCTGTTGCATCGTTCATAGACCAATTAGATCAACTTAAGAGTTAGAAAGATAGTGCATTTATCTTATAATTTTAACATAAGGCTTACCAAGATTAATGCGAGCATAGTTTCTAAAGAACCAGACACCAATGAGATTCACCAGCAAGTTGGTAACAGCAGAAACAATCAAATAATGCCTACATATAGGCAACCATGAAAAGATAAATAAGCCAATAACTGTTAGCTATATGCCTTTGTGTTAGACTAGAACCTTCTGATGTAATAAGTCCATAGTATATAGCTTGTTAGTATCTCGGTTAGTTGTCAAGTCTAACTGACTTAACCAACTCTATAAATACATTGTAACCCAACTCAGTTTGTAATGAGATCTTTCTGTTAGCTCATCCTATCTCTCTCTCTCTCTCGTTCATCTAATACGGTATCAGAGCTTTAGCTCGATCCATCAATGGCGACCGCAGAAAGTACATCTCATTCCTCTGCTACTACAAATCTTGCAAATTCGACAACTCTGGTGACCTTCGCTCATCCACTTCCAGTTAAACTTGACGCCAACAACTTCATCTTCTGGAAACACCATGTCGAGTCTGTAGTTAGAGCGCACAAATTGCTTTGGTTTATCATCAAACCAGTAATTCCAAAACAATTCATCATTGATGACGACGAAGCAGCAGATACTGTTAACGAAGCGTATGTTGCTTGGGAACAACAAGACCAAATGTTATTTTCATGGCTACTCGCGTCACTCTCAAAACCTGTACATGCTCGTGTTATTCATTGCAGACGCTCCTATGAGCTTTGGAGTGAAATCAACAACTTCTCCCAATCCAGTATCATGGCGAAGGCTAGACAACTCAAATCCGAGTTGTATAACACTGCGAAAGGTAATCGCTCCATTTCTGAGTACTTACTTCGCATCCAAACAATCGCCGATAACCTACTTTCAATTGGAGAACCAATTTCGTCTAAGGATCACATTAATGTGATCCTTGAAGGTTTACCAGAAGAATACGAATCTCTGGCTTCGTCAATATCCTCTCGCAGCATACTTGATCCACCAACTCTATCTGAAGTTGAGTCTCTTCTATCTGCCAAAGAAACACGACTGTTAAAACTTCGCGAATCCTCTCAACAGAACTTATTATCTGCAAATGTTGCTCGATTGGAAATCTCAACTCCAAATCCTCATCCTCCTACTGAAAACACTAATGACAATGCTTCTGCTCAAGTTGCTCAATTCAACAACACCGGCAATAACAATTCCTACAGGGGTAGAGGTCGTGGAGGCTTCTCAAGAGGGAGAGGGGGCAGATTTGGTGGACGCAACCCCATCATATGCCAAGTTTGTGGTAAAAGTGGCCATCATGCACTCATTTGTTATCATAGATACAATCCTTCATATACTGTCTCCAATCCTTTATTCCCCAACTCCTTGAATCCATCTTCAGCCAATCCTTACTCAACAAATCTATATCCTCAAAAACCTGTTTCCAGTTATCCCCATCATTCACCAAATCCTACTGCCACAAACAACTCAGTGCAATCTTTCAACTGGGAACAACCATCACATCAAAACCATCATCATTCACCTGGTGTTTCATATAATCCTACTGCTGCTTGTGCCAATGCCAACACCTCTATTCTAGGACCTCCTCCACAACCTCAAACTTGGTTCCCTGATTCTGGAGCTACTCACCATGTCACTGCAGATCCCTTAAACCTTCGGCACAGTGAAACTGTTACAACTACTGATAAGCTTCTTATGGAAAATGGTCAAGATTTGGACATCAAGTCTATTGGTTTTACTTCCATTCCTTCTCCTTATCAGTCTTCTATTTCTCTTTCTCTCAACAATATTCTTCATGTTCCTTCAATAACTAAAAATCTAATCAGTGTAAGTCAATTTGCTAAGGATAACAATGTCTTTTTTGAGTTTTATCCTTATGACTGTTATCTGAAATCTCAAGTTTCTAATCAAGTCTTGTTGCATGGTATCCTGGGAGCAGATGGTCTGTACAGATTCCAATCCTTTCTAGCTCTCAGTCTCGACCAGTCTCCTACATCACATAATCAGTCTTCTGTTTCATCTCCACAAAATACCAAGTCTAGTGTCTTGTTATCTACCTGTAATAATGCCAAGTTTAGTTGTTGTTCTCAATCATGTAATCTTTGGCACCTGAGACTTGGACATCCTCAGGTTCTCAAAATTGTACTTCAACAATGTAATGTTCCTTATAAATAAAAGTGCAAATGACTTCGTTCTGATTGTTGTATTGGTAAAGCACATAGACTGCCATCTTATCATTCTACAACTATTTATCATAAACATTTTGAACTGATTTTCACAGATCTCTGGGGACCGGCTCCCATTGTATCTTTTGATGGATACTCATATTACATAGCATTTATAGATGTTTGTACAAAATATACTTGGATCTATTTCCTCAAACGAAAATCTGATGCTCTTCTAGCTTTCAATAACTTCTTTCAATATGTCCTTACTCAATTTTCTGTATCCATCAAGTCCATTCAGTCTGACGGGGGGGGGGGGGGGTGAATTTAGGCCCTTTACTAAATTGCTATCTGAAAAAGACATCATTCATAGTCATTTGTCCACACACACACCATCAAAATGGTGTTGTGGAAAGAAAACATCTTACAATTGTTGAAAAGGTCTCTCTCTTCTGTCTCAATCTTCCCTACCTCTTAAATTTTGGGATACAGCCTTTACTACTTCTATACATCTCATTAACAGAGCTCTTTCCAAATCCATTGTGAACTCTAGCCCATATTTCAAACTGTACAATTTTATGCCTGACTACTCATTTCTAAAAGTATTTGGTTGTGCTTGTTACCCTTTCATCAGACCATACAACAAACATAAGCTTGACTTTCATTCAGAAGAATGTGTTTTTGTGGGATATTCATCCAGTCACAAAGGTTACAAATGTTTGTCTCCTTCTGGCAAAATTTACATCTCTAGGGATGCTGTTTTTCAGGAATCTAAATTCCCTTATCCACTTCTATTCTCTTCTGACTCCTTTTCTTTAAGCACCAATCACAATCCAATTTCTGTGCCTATTAGTATTTCATCACCCATTTCTCATTCTAACCCTGTCCAATCTACTCCATTTGTCTCTACTCAACAGCCATCTGCTACTGCAGATCATGCTCTTCCTTCATCTTCCAATAATTCAGATCCATCTTCTTCCCAATCTTCCTCTTCTGAGTCTTCATCTTCACCAATACTTCATTCTAACCCTTCTCTTGTTTCCACACAACACCCTTCTTCTTCTGACACTTCAGTTCCTTCGGTTCCTATCACTAAAACTCATCCTACCTTATTGTTGACCCATATTGAGCCTAAATCAGTTAAACAGGTCCTAGCTTCTCCTCATTGGCTTGAAGCTATGCAATGTGAATATGATGCCTTAATTGCTAACAAAACTTGGTCTCTTGTTACCCTTCCTCCAGATAAACAAGCCATTGGCTGCAAGTGGGTTTATACAGTCAAGGAAAAACCTGATGGCTCTCTTAATAAATATAAAGCCAGATTGGTGGCAAAAGGATTTCATCAGCAATATGGCTTTGACTTTGGAGAAACATTCTCTCCAGTTGTAAAGCCAGTCACCATCAGAATACTTCTCACTCTTGCTATTTCACACAATTGGTCCAGAATGCCTTTCTAAATGGAGAGCTAGATGAGGAAGTATACATGATGCAGCCTCCAGGGTTTCAGGTTGAGGACACCTCCTTAGTTTGCAAGCTCCACAAATCTCTGTATGGCCTTAAATAGGCTCCTAGAGCTTGGTTTCACAAGCTCACTTCTGTCCTCTATAATGCTGGTTTCAAGCAAAGCAAATCTGATCCCTCTCTACTTATTTTTCTGTCTTTTGGAATTCAGATGTATATATTGATATATGTTGATGACATATTAATCATTGGAAATAACTCTACTGCCATCACTCAACTTATTCATAAGCTCCATTCATCTTTCTCTCACAAACACCTAGGAGACCTAGATTTCTTTCTGAGAATAGAGGCACGCAAACTCCCTGATGGCAGTCTTCATTTATCCCAAGCTAAGTACATTAGAGACATTGAATCAAGCTGGTATGTTGGATTCAAATGGGTCAAGACACCCATGGTTAGCACCTGCAAACTTCAGAAACAAGGCAGTGACTATCTTCCCAATCCCTCTCATTACAAATCCATTGTTGGAGTATTACAGTATGCCACTTTAACCAGCTCAGACATGTACTATGCTGTCAACAAAGTGTGTCAATTCATGGCTGAACCACTGAAGGAACACTGGCAAGCAGTGAAGCACATTCTTAGATATCTCTCTCGCACTGTCAACCATGACATCATCATTAAACCTATCTCTTTGTCCAAAATGCCTCTTCCTATATCAGCCTACTGTGATGCTGACTGGGCATCTTATCCAAATGACAGAAAATCTACATCTGGTTCATGTATATTTCTTGGAGCCAATATTGTATCTTGGTGGTCAAGAAAACAACTCAGAGTTGCTAGGTCTTCAACAGAAGCAGAAGAATATAGGAGCCTTGCAGATACCTCAGCAGAACTCCTGTGGATTTAGTTTCTCTTGAGAGAACTCCAAGTTCCATTTGCTACACCTAAGGTGTACTGTGACAACCTCAGTACTGTCCAGTTAGCTCACAATCCTGTCTTGCAATCCAAAATTAAACATTTGAAGCTTGATCTTTTCTTTGACAGGGAGAAGGTTTATATAAAGCAACTTGAAGTCTATCACATTCCCTCTCTTCATCAGATTGCTGATATCCTAACTAAACCACTCTCCAGCTCCAGATTTCTTGAACTCAGAACAAATCTTAGTGATTGAATTTTCAAGTCAATCACCCTAAATTTGAGGGGGGATGTTAGCTATATGCCTTTGTGTTAGACTAGAACCTTCTGATGTAATAAGTCCATAGCATATAGCTTGTTAGTATCTAGGTTAGTTGTCAAGTCTAACTGACTTAACCAACTCTATAAATACATTGTAACCCAACTCAGTTTGTAATGAGATCTTTATGTTAGCTCATCCTCTCTCTCTCTCGTTCATCTAATAATAACTAATTTAAAAAAGTTAAAATAAAAAATCAGAATAGTGTAAAAAAGTGAATTTGTAAAATACATTAAATTAAAATCTGAAAACTTTTAAAAAGATGTGGAATACAAAAATAATTCCAAAAAACGCCAAAATATTGAGTTTCACATTTTTAAATTGTTCAAATATTTTATTTATATCTATTCGAATTTTAACAGTTTTTTATAGCTTTTTAATATAATAAATCTGCTATTACATGTCAAAAACCGGTTATATGGCTACATTGAACGATTTTTAAAAGTAAACATACTTCAATGATGCTTTTTTAGTATAGGGGCCTAAGTTATGGTTTCGAAATAGTAGAAGGGTCTATTTGACCCTTTTCTCTTTATTCAATAATAATTATGGCCCTTATATTGAGTATCACAAGAGTCCTAATTGTAAGACAAAACAACTGCTACTCCCTCCGCCCCACTTAAAGGTTCCCACGCGGTTTACGATGTTTGACTGACCATAAATTAATTGATCTCTGTCATTAATAAAATTATTTTTAGTATATAAAATTTACATATTTAGAAACTACACTAAATGTTTTATAATACATGATCAAGAAAAATAAAATTTGATAAAAGTTGGATATATAAAGTAAAAGATTAAGAACAATTCATGTTGACCGAAGAATAGTGGACGTGAAGTCGTGAACCTTTAAATGGGACGGAGGGAGTAATTAAGAAGCTGCCTAAAACTGAAATAGGAAAAATTGATCTGTATTAGTTGAAGCGTACAGATCAATCCCTGCAGCTTGTCTCTTTATTTTATTTTAGATTTAGCCACTTTATTTTTCAATAGGTTTGGGGGCACTATTTGCTGACAAACTTGGTCCTGCAACCTGGGGCTGGCTCTGTAGAGGGTGGTGTTGCTGGCCCCAGAAAGCATCCATAACATAATCCTTTTAGGACTAAAAGTTTTTTTGGATTAGTTGATTTCAAATTTACATATCTTTCTGGCATGAGCATTGAGATGCAATCACACAATATTGTCGGTCCTTTATGAAGTTAGGATTGCAATATATTATATCTAAGAGGGTTAGGACCAAAAATAAACTTCCAGGGCAGCTTTTAGGCAGAGTCGGGTTTTACAGGTTATGAGTATGGGCCAGTTTCTACCAAATGAGGCTGGTTGTCCTGGTTTTATCTTTTTGCAGGTTATGAGTTCACCAAACAGTTTTGTGACTGGGTCACCAGTTCTGGACTTTAACATATCCCGTAACCTGTTCCTTTTTTACATGATGCTCTATGTGGTCTCCTTTGTGTATTTCTATACATACATACACACACACACACACACACACACACACACATATATATATATATATATAAAACTATATTTGTAAATTACTAAATTTCAAAAATAGATGCAACATAAAACAGCGAAACAGTACTTACAATGGCCAAAAAGTACAGTAATAATCCACTTATCCACCCCCACCACTATCCATGGACAAAGTGGGAAGGGAAGAGTTTATTTCTCTCAGATGACAGGGAAAGGAAAGCCTACCTGGACAAAGAAGATAGTCTAGATCTGGATGAGAAGGTCCCCCAGACTGCCTGTGTTGTTTAATAGCATATTATGTCATAGGAAGGGGACCTTCATCAGTTAAGATTGGCCATGTGACCTTAAGGTAACAGTCCCGAGCAAGAACCTTATAGGAATATAAAGCAAGGCTAAGCACCACTTACGAAAGACGGTGGCTGCCATGGCATAATGGCATTTATCGGCTTCTTCCTAAGGAGACTCATGCAGCAGCAACTTTGGAGCTTGTCTAGTTTAAAGTGGCTGGAGAATCAGAGACAGGCCATGTGGCAACGCGCGCAAACATAAGAAATGTATTGAAGTTTAGAAAAGGGAGAAGACTCAGACTGGAAAGCTTGATTCATTCCCTGGTATGTTCTGATATTTATTCAATGATCGAGGAGGTAAATAAGGCAAGCTAGTAATTACAATAAATTCAATGATTTATAACTGAAGATTCTAATAATAATTGTAACTGACAACTTATTTTCTGGATTCTTCTACACACCCTCAAGCCAGGTCTTCTATCACTCCCAAGAATCCTGAGCTTATCCTGAGCTTATCTTTAAGGATAAAATGATATGGTGGAAGTGGCTTGGTGAGAACGGCAGCCAACTGATCATGAAGGGGATATGAAAGACAGAAGAAGTCCACTCTGTACACGTTGCCGGACAAAATGGAAATCAATTGCAACATCTTACATCCGAGAATGGAAGACAGGATTTGGTGAAGTCGTGAAGAGGTGGTATTTCATTTCTTATTGCAAAGAAGGATTGGAGGAGAAGGAGGCAGATGTCATAGGCACATAGCTCATGAAGAAGTGATTCAATCCAGAGAACTTCGGACGCAGCCGTTGATAGAGCCTGATACTCTCCTTATATCGAAGATTTGACGATTGCCTGTTGCTTGGATGATTTCCAGGAAATAAGTGATTTATGTTCTAGATATTGGGACTGGTGGGCATATACTCTGAAGTTGGGTCAATGAGCTCAGGCCTAATATGGAAGCATTTTGACGGTTAGCAAGGCCCGTATTTATTCAAACAGCCAGGGCGATAGATTCGCCCCCGTTCTTCTCTCCTAGAGACGCCGAGTTCGCAGTGACAATGGACGAGGAGTTCAAAACTCCTTCTTTCAAAGTTTGTCCTCAAAGCGAACGAGCAGAGTATATATTTCTTCAAATCCAGTATCGTCGATCGTACAGATTATGTTCTCAATAGCTTTGACCTCAGGATGAAAACTTTCAAGGCTTCAATAGTGAAAAGTTTTCATAGTCTACCAGTAGGCCCGCCATGGCAAGTTTATCTGCAAAGGTTCGAAGGTGATGAAGATATTCTCCGAGAAACTGAGCCCCTGTTGAGCATGGGGGAATCGGTCCTTGAGGTTTCAAATTCTGGAAGCTGACCGGTTCCCATAGAGATGCTCCAGTGTCTTCCACACAGACCAATTAGAGGTTTGCAAAGCCGGACTGAGAGAGGAGACAAATGCATGGCACTGCATAGATGCTGTGTCTTTCATCGGAGAAGGCCAGTTGCATCACTATCCGTAGGTGGAATAGCTTTGTCATCAATGTACTGATCGAGATGGGAACCAAACAGGAGGGGTCCATCAACTGGTCTCGCCATACCAGGTAGTTTGACGTCCATCTTGTTTTTCTGGAAACTGGTTAGGGCTGAGCCTAATAAGGCCATCCAATGTTACCGGCTGAGAGGGATGAAGTCTGGCCACTGGCCACAAGGGAGCTTTCACGGTCTACCTGCCCATGGAGGTCTTCTGGGTGTTCGCCTCCGTTCCCGTTAGTAGTCATGAGGAGAAGGAAGAAGGGATGCTGGATAACGGGTTGAAGTCAAGAGGATATGCCGGTTAGAGCTCTTGTGGTTCTGATACCATATTGAAGTTTAGAAAGGAAGAAAACTTTAAATTGGAAAGCTTGATTCATTCCCTTGTATATGTTCTAATAATTATACAATGATCTAAGGGGTCAATACCGCAAGCTAGTAATGACAATAAATACAATGATTTGTAACCGAAGATTCTAATAAATAATTGTAACTGAAAACATACTTTATGGATTCTTCAATTGCTATTCTTTTGTGCCTAAAAGCTAAATGACTTGGATTCCAATTCAGCAATCATCGGGAATTCGCATGAAAAAATGTGGTGAAGCTGGTTGCATTTTTCTTTTGACCAAATTCAAGTATTTATCTGGAAATTTTTAGTCTCAAGGCTCGATTGCATTTGTGTGTGTAAAAGATACCCTTTTACCAAAAATTTCTATATTAGTAGAGCAAAATACCATCTCAATTAGAAAGTGATAAATTATATGAATAGATTTGATTTATATAGCATCTCATGAAGATGCTAACTCATGCTAAGATGGTAAGTTCACCATCATCATCATCATTACCCCAGTGCCGCAAAGGATCCGACCTACGGTGGGGTAAGGGGGGTCGGATATACGCAGTCTTACCCTTGTACTAAAGCACAGAGAGATTGTTTCCGAATGACCCAAAGTGAAAATCGCGTCGAAAAATAAGTTCACCATCATCATCATCATCATTTTCATTTACCCCAGTGCCGCAAAGGCTCCCACCTACGGTGGGGTAAGGGGGGTTGGATGTACGCAGTCTTACCCTTGTACTAAAGCACAGAGAGACTGTTTCCGGATGACACAGTGTGAAAATCCCGTCCAAAATTGCATGGACTGACTGCTGCTTCATAACAAAGAAGCGCAGACAGTTTAGTGAGCCATTTTGCTTTATTCCATCATAATCTCAAGCCAAAAAATAATGAATCTTTGGCTCCATTTCAAATGATGGAAACGAAAAAAAAAATAAGTTCACCATAGTTTAAAAATCTCCACTCGAGAGTAATGGAAAAATGTAAGTTAAACACTCCCAGAAAGTTTGAGTATAAAGAGAAAATGGCATACCTGTGCTCGGATTCATCTTGTATGAATGCATGAAATGCTTCAACAGCTAAGGAGAATGACAAAAACAATAGAAAGAGCTGTCTACACACAAGAATCACATTAAGAAAGTGATGTGTTAGTATTGAGTAAAAGAACCAAGAAAGACTCGCAAAATATACTATGCACAATCTAATGAATGCTAATCTATTCTAAAGGTATACAACTCATGCACCCGGTACAAGCTATCAGATATAGAGCACGTTTGGTGACCCTGTTTTTCGGCTTATCAGCCCACTCTTTCACCATACACGTAATTTTTAATTTCGGGCACTGAGTTGTGTAATAATAAGAAAAGTAAGGTTAAAGTTACTCTTATGGCTGCATTGGATGAAGTTACTCTACACGATCATTTTAGCTATTTTTTATATAAATTTTTCTTTATTTTATCAATAATTTTTTTTTTCATATATAAACAAAATCAGCCAATCCAATCACTTCAACCAAAACTTCATAAATTTCAGCAGAAACAACCAATGCAGCCGATTTGGGTATTACCAAACGGGCTCATAAGCATAAGGTTCGATCTAAGAAAGTACAAACCGAATATTGACGCATGGATATATATATATATATATATATATATATATATATATATATATATATATATATATATATAGGGAGCGGATCAGGTGAGAAGTGCCCTTAGGCTGAGAACTACGAAGCTAACTTATGGACTGAAAACAGAAACTTCTAACCAATAAATCAATAACTTATAGACCCCTCGAAATAATTACGAACATGCCACCGCAAAAAAATAAGTCTGGAGACCTTGGAAATTTTTGGACGCGGTAGCATTTTCATAATTACAATGAAGAGCTTTATAAGTTATGATTTATTGGTTATAAGTTCCTATATTCAGTATATAAATTTACTGCGTTGCAAGATCACATGGAAATTCAAGGGCTAAGATTACTTCTCACTTCTCATTTTAAGGGGCACTTCTGATCTGATCTTTTCTCTCTCTATATATATATACTTATGTATGTATGTATACATATGTATTTTTTTCTCTTTCTAGCTTGTTTCATTAATGCCATAGTCGGTAAGTGACATTTACATATTGAGAAAATAGACATTTATATAAAAGAGTACTATCAGAACACAAAATCATATTTTCTACAAAACTAACCTTTTAAACTTAGATCCTAATATCATATTATTAAATTATTTAATATGTGAATAAAGAAATAAAGCATTTCCATGTGCCCCCAAAACGGTAGATCAGTATTACCTGGTTTAAAAATTCGAAGTACTCAACTGTTCTTTCAAAAACAACAACAAAAAATCAGTGTAAATTAATAAATTTCCCAGCAATTAGCTTATTAGCGCTACCCACCATGACAACTAAAACTCATTCATGTACAAGAAAGGGGCAATAGTGTCGGGGTTTTCACGTACTTACAGCATTTGTGAAAGCAGACAAAACTTCTAATCTCTTGTACCTAAAAAAGGATACATTGATTAGACATATGCTGAGTATTACATGCTTTATTAAGGATCAGACCATTGGGCTACAACAACAACATTACCCCAATGCCGCAAAGGCTCCAACCTACGGTGGGGTATAGGGGTCAGATGTACGCAACCTTAACTCTGTACTAAAGCACAGAGAGACTGTGTCCGGATGATCCATGATGAAAAACGCGTCGAAAATTGCATGGGCTGACTGCTGCTTCATAACAAAAAAGCGCAGACAGTTTAGACCGTCAGTATGGGTCTATGGGGACAATATTCAAACAGCATACCTCTCGCTCTACTGAGAATATGATTCCCGAAAAAAATACAAGTATGTATAGCCAACATGGGATTGAATCCCCCACCCCCTCCCACCCCAACTAATCATACAATTTCTTCTCTTCAGGGATAACCAAATCAGCATCCATCAATACTAAAACAAACATTCTCATGCTCACAAAAGAACTATGTGTGTTCAGGTACCCCATTGTATCAAGCAAGAGATAGATTGCACAAATTTCAAACTCAGCCCATTAAGTACATAACACGTTTCAAAGCTCACCCATATGTGTAGGTTCCATCAGGCTTTCTCCTAGAAATAGCCATTGCAAACAATGAAAATGTTAAGAGGCCACAGCCAAATGTCAAGTGAAATGCGTCTGAGACCAGACCTGATACAAAAGCATAACCCACATTCATGAGCATCAGATTAAACCAATATGACCCATAGAATAAAACTGAAGACACCACTTCTAAGGAGACAATGGCGTGCATATATAGCACAATACTGGATTGATAGCAAAACAGGGATTCTCTGAACAAATATAACAGCAATCCAGACCAAATGATAATCAATTAACAGCCATGTACTAAATTCACAATGCACAACTCCAAATACTGAGTAATCATTGATTTTCTAGCTAGCGCTAGGCATAATACAAACAAAGCCATTATAAAATTGAATAAGAGCCAAGGCAGATTGAAACTCCGTACCTACTCGGCCTGAAAAAAGCCCAAGACATAACTCCACTGTAGAATAAGCTACATTAAGTGAAATCAACACAAACAACCTCCTCATCGGCTTGTTCCCCGATAAGACGCCTCTTAAAACTGCTGAAAGAAGAGAAGAAACGGAAAATTTCTCGTCAGAGATATTTGATTCCTGGGACAATACGTAGGGCGAATCTCGAGAGTAAATATCCGGTATATCGATGCTCGAAACGTTACGCGTCAGCAGAGGCTTCGATAGACTGTTAGATTGGTGAAACGATGCTTGACGCGAATCTTCTGTCACTGCCGCCGAAATCAAAACCTACCCCATTAGACGGCGGTCTCGGCGATTCGGCACCCACCTTCTGGTAATTAGACTTGGAATCGTATTGCTCTGAACCCATCGGACTTTCCATCTTTGTTCTGTAAATTATCATATTTGCTATGGCGGAAAGCCGTCTAACTACTCTAGGAAAAGCAAGATGGAGTCAAAGAAAACGGTAGTTAGTTTATGAATTTTAAAACACACAACAAAGTGCATTTGCAAAAATAATTGGAGATGCGGGGGATCGAACCCCGTGCCTCTCGCATGCAAAGCGAGCGCTCTACCATTTGAGCTACATCCCCTTTGCAAATTGTTCAAATTATATCTTTACAAATCTACACATTTCAGGTATTGTTTTCCTCATGGACTTGTAATAAAATAAACTGAATTTTTGAACTTTATATCTACAGCCTCTTTGGTATGACGTAAACAATTTTCGTGCAGAGTGTAGGGAAGTAAACATTTTACACCATTTGGTTTAATTTTGATGTAAATTGTAAAGCATTTTTTTAAACATTTTACACTATTTTAACCAAGTAGAGCTAGGATCAAAACATAGAGCAGCGGTCTCTCCCTATCTTAGGGTTCGAGTTTTCTGTCGTCCATGGCCGAACCCTCTGTTGAGGCAAAGAGGCAATTGTCTCAGGTCCCAAAAATTTGGTAAATAATAAGGGCACATCAATAATTATATTCTAGTATTATATATATTCAATTTTTTCTATTTTATTAAAATAACAACAATACAAAAAATATTAATCAAAATAATACCATGCAGTTATGTGGGATTAGTTATATGATGTAGGCATATTAATTAAATTACTGCTTACAAACCTTAATATCCAATATTTTACATTATTTAAAGGTCTTTTACAAAAATTCGACTCGAGCCAAAAAATGTTAGGATCGGCCCTGCTGCCGTCATCAAGTGTGGCTGCTTGTTCAATAGGTAAGGGTTCGTAAACATCAAATCTTCGCTACATACATTTGCCCGTCAATGGAAGAAGGGTTGTGATGGTCCAGAGAGGAACCAGGAGAGACATCACGGGAAGAAGTTTGGCGGCAGTCAAAGGCCCTCGGTTCGGTAAACCAACGGATCGAGCAATATGATGGCCTAGACATTGGGACAGCGCCGGACGAGCTGGTGATCGATGATGATGATGATGATGATGATGAAGGGGTTGTCGAGAAGGAGGTTAACCAAGTGGAGGAATTCCCAATGGTCAGCATGTTTCTCACAGACAAGGTGGTGCCATTCCAAATTTTCAAAGACCTCATGGCGGCTTTGTGGTGCCCAATGAAGGGGGTCTCGATCAAGGAAATTGTTGGAAAATGGTACCTTATTAAATTTTACCATTCGGTTGATATGAATCATGTTCTGGATAATGGGTCATGGTTGTTTGATCAGAATTTATTAGTGTTAAGGGCCATTAAGCTGGGGGATATCCCGCTTAAGGTCCCTTTGGATACGACTCATTTCTGGGTGCAAGTGCACAATGTGCCATACAGTTATGCTAATCTTGGAATTGCTAGGAGAATTGGGAGTTTCTTAGGAAAATTTGTTAGTTGCGATGACACGCGGTTTGATGAAAAGTGGGAGGCTTATATAATGGTTCAGATTTGTTTGAATGTAGGAAAACCTCTAACAGTTGGCACCACTATCAAGAAGAGTAAAGGGGAGATATTGGGTTGATTTTAAATATGAGAAGATTCCAAGTTTTTGTTTTGTCTGTGGGGTCATAGGACATGCACAAAAATTTTTGCTCAATGATATACGAAAAAGGAGGTCAGGAATTGCCCAAATTGTTTGGTCTGTGGCTGCGGGCGGGAGGAAGGAAGACTCGCCCTTCTTTGGGAAGTAAGTGGTTGGTTACAGAGGGAATATTTGCAAGTGTCTGCAACAAAACAAATATCTCTAGGATAGATCAGGATCTGGGCCCGAAAGTCAAGGTGGGGGATTGGCAGGGATGGTTGGTTGCTACTACTGAGACAGGTGAGACTCAAGTACGTGGAGGTCCAGGTGATCAGAAAAGGAGACGCACATGGGAAGAGCAGGGTGATTATGTGGTGGAGGAAATGGCCCTAGACGGGCAAAAAACGGGGAAGGGGTGGGCTTTGGGGCCCAGGTCCGCCAGAGCTCATGAGGATTCAGATCTTGTTGATGCTTTTAAGACAATTTTATTTAGTTTATTTAGCTAATTTCATGTTTCGTTTTTATTTGGATCTTTATGTTGTTTTGGTTGTGTTGTGTTTTTCCAACAAAAAACTCTAGAACTTAGGACAAATGATGAGGAGTCTGGTTTGCCTATCATAGGCTCAGTTAAGCCCATAGCGAGACCAGCGAATCACATTTCTTCTACTGAGGTGATGGATTCTGAGTCTGGTTCTAGGGAGGACGGCAGACAAAAGGCTTGTTATCGTTTTGTAACCTGCTTACGTTTTGTTATCATAATATAAGCCACTTTCGTTCAAAAAAACATTTTACACTGTACCATGCAAAATATTTTGCCTCGGGTGGGGGTTATTAACTACTTTACATTCATCAATACGGTGTATAAAATATATCCAAGTCCAAGTTTTACAATCTAGCCCTATTTTTTACGATTGATTTCTGGCGGCAATCCAAATTTCCCCTCCTATAAGAAAAGCAAATCGTCAAGAATATTGTCCATTATCTTCTTGATATGTGGTACACTACACTGCAATGCGATTCCGAGAAATGGTGACCTTTCATTCTTTCTGTTCTTTTATGGGCTCTTTAACTTGTTGTTTCAATGTCTTTTAAATTTATAAAATCATTGTGATATTATATAAATTGAAAAAGATATTGGAAGTTTAAGTGCTTTGATATGCACTAATTAGTAGTGCATAAATGTTTGTTTTTATGTTTGATTTGTGTGGATTGTTTACCGTTTTAGTTAGTTTGAGAACATTTGTTTCACTTTAATTGTAATTGTATTTTACTCTTCATTTGTATGTTGAAAAGTAGAATTAGGGATTATGGTGTTGAAAAGGAGGACTTTGAAGTGAAGCAAAAGGAGATTGGACTGTCCAGGAGCTGAAACCCGACCGGGCATAAACACTTGACCCGGTCGGGTAAGATTTAACATACGAAGGTGACTGGAAATTGCACAGACCCGGTCGGGTCCCCTATACCACCCGGTCGGGTCAGATTTGACCCGGGACAGTTTAACGTGCTAAAACACAAGAACGTGGAAGATTATCTGATCTTGACATGCACCCGGTCGGGTGGGCACTTAACTCGGTCGGGTACCCGACCCAAGGTGTTGAAAGACACCTATAAATAGCACACTTTTCCTTCACTAAAAAGTTATCCCTTCTTCTATACTCCTAAGCTCAGTTTAGAATAGCATTTTTTTTTCTAGTATGTTTAGTCTCCAAATGAGGAGCTAAACTTCCATTTCTTGGTTTTGCTCTTGAAGCTTGTTGATTATTAAAGTTGTGAGTTATTTTCTTACTTTTTCTTCTTGATTATTAATTCTTCCCTTAATCTCATTCTATATTAATGTTGGAGGGTTGCTAAGTGACGATTAGTTAACGTTCCGACATTAATTATTACTAGAAACGATCAACGAACTGATGGTTAATCGTTGATGGTTTCACAAGTAAGTAACTTCGGTTTATTAATGCACGGTCGTGGTTAATAAATTTAAGATGGATTAATTTTGTTGGTTAAACGGAAACCGTTGTGTTGAGGTTGTCAATCTCAATTGATTTCATCAAGGAGTTAAAGAGGTTAAATGCTACTATTATATCGGTATACGGCGTTGTTCTATATTTGATTAATAGTGAGGGTTATTAATGAACGGTCGTTGTTAATAACCACCCTCGATGAATTGGAGATACTCCGCGATTGAGTATTCGAAAGAGGATAAGTTATAGATATAACAATGATCGACTAAAATATATCAACAAGTGGAAAGTAGCAAGACCAAGTCCCTTTTATTCTTGAATTAAATCTCATATAAGTCGTTCATCTTAGTGTCTTATTAAATCAAATCACTCAATCAAACCCCCCCCATTTATTTACTTCTTTCGTTAAAAAGAATTATTCCTTTCTCTGTGGATACAAACTCTACTACACTATACTACGTATAAGTGTTAGTATTGAATTTATTTTGAAGTGCACACCACGACAAAGTGCACGTCATGATTCAATTAATTGAATGATTTGCTACATGTATCGATTCACGCTTTGATGTTGATTGTACGTGTGTATGCTTGTTCCACAAAGTAATGCTACATAATAAAAAAGATTAAATGAAGTTTTATTTAAAAGTAGATTACACACATTGTCAAACAATATAATTCTATTTTACGTGCAAACTAATTACCGCACTTAACTTTACATACAATCTAACAATCATTTTACATGTAAACTTTTAATGTGTAAATTACCAAACGCGTTGATAAATATTCACCACTATTCACTAATGAATATAATTGTGGAAGAATCCTGATTATGGGCCATATTCTTAGTGCTTAGTGTAGGATACCGGCAAAGGCCTAGGAGGAATGTGGATACTAGTTTGATTTAGATTCAGGAAATAAGATTGCAATAGGGTTTGAAAGAAAAAAGAAAGAAAGAAATGGTGGATGTAATTGAGGCGTTGGTTGGAAAATGCCAACCAGCAATTCAAAATAAAGTCTCTATTGCTATGTAATAATGAAAGGTGCGAAAGGTTTTGGGAGTTCGTCATAGGCCTCTATTCACCAGTTTGTGGATGAGACCTTTCAAAGCGTTGGAGCCATGGGAAGTGTGACATGGTAGGGGGCATGAATGCAGAATAAGGGGATAGGGGAAAGTCGGGTGTGGGGTACGAAAGTGAGACAAGAGTAGAAAAGCGTGATAATATAGAGTAGAAAAGCAAGGTAAATAATTAGGATGTGTAGTGGGGCGGGGAACAGAAGGAGTGTGTGGCGAGGGTGATGGTAATTAAAGGGTGACATCAAAATATGTGTACTAGTTCATGCAATAGGCATAATTATAGAGATGTCTAGAAAATCACATAAATGTTTGTTAGAGATTATATGATACTACTTGAATTAGAGAGATGTGGAATAGAGTGGCCAAGAACGATATGATACTACTTGAATTAGATGAGATGAAGGGTTTGGAGACGGAAAGTGGAGGAAAGG